CTGGAGAGAAATATAAAAATTGTAAATAAGTGGGGAGGTTGGTTTGAAGAGTTGAGAAAGATGACAAGTATTCCCAATCTCATGAGAGTTGGAATAGGGAGGAAGCAGACAACACAAACCATAACAATGGAACCAAGCCCAGCTAGGCAAAGATCTTTGGAAGAGGTGACACAAAGAGATAGAGCGAACTCATTTAAAGACCTACAATTAATGTTGCAATCAATGCAAGAGGTAATGTGTAAAAACCATGAAGACCTAAAAAAAGAAATAGGGGAAGTGAGAAATGACACAGGAGAACTTAAGGAAAAGATGAAGTCAATGGATGGGAAATTTGAGTGTTTTCAGCAACAGATCATGAAAAATGAACAACAGTTACAGGAAATGGAAGAAAGAATGGGAAAAGAAGAACAGAAAGTAGATGAAATAAATGAGAGGTTAACCCAGGCTAACAGAGAATTGGAATCGACAGTCATTTTCTTGGAATTAGAGAAGGCTGCCCACTATCTACAGTTCCAAAACATCAGAGAGACGAAAGGCGAAGATTTACCAGTGATGATCCTTATTTTTCAAGCCCATAAGCAACATCATTTGGGGAAAACTGCATTATTACAGCAACTTGAACGATTTTTCTATCTTCCCTTTGCTTCTTCGCTAACAGCACAAGTATGTTCTCAATGTTTCATTTGTGCCCAAACCAATGCATGCCAAGGACCAGTACTACCACCTGGCTGACAACCAATCACTTATTTTCCAATGGACTATGTCGTTGTTGATTTTACTGATATGCCCAGAAGCAAGAAATATGTAGCCTTGTTAGTTATAATCAATACCTATTCAGGGTGGATTGAAGCATTTCCAACTGTAAATAAGAAAGCTATAATCTTTAATCTGCCAGAATCTTTCTTAAAGAAATTATTCCTAGATTTGGTTGCCCTTCTAGGATTTCATCAGATAATGGCCCTGAATTTGTACACCAAATCAATCAGGCTTTAGCCCAGGCATTAGGAATTAAGTGGAGATTTCATTGTGCTTTTCACCCCCAATCGGCTGCTAGGGTGGAACGTGCTAATCGCACAATTAAAACACTTATTACCAAATTTTGTTTGGAAACTCATCTCCATTGACCAGATGTTTTGCCTATGGTTTTGTATGCAATCAGACTGGCTCCCCGCACTAAATTACAACTTAGTCCTTATGAGCTCATGTTTGGCCATCCTCCTTGCCTATTTAAACCTGACAGTCAAGGCTGGCTGGACTTGGCTCATAAGGGGGGAATAGATCAACAGAAATTGTTACATCAGTTACAGCTTCATAATTTGGCTGTTTCAAATTTGCGCCATTATATGATGGAACAACAATCCCCTCCAGTGGTCACAGCAACACATAGGTTCAAACCAGGAGATAGAGTGTGGGTAAAGCACTGAAAATCAGATCCCTTGAGCCCAAGATGGAAAGGACCGTATACTGTTGTCATGTGTTCTCCTTTGGCAGTGAAAACCTTGGAAGGAAAGTTCTGGATCCCCTGGAGTAGAGTGAAAGCAGCTGCACCTGCAGATCCAGTAACCTACAAGGTGGACAAGACTGACAAACCTTTGGTGTTGAAATTTACAAGAAATACAGCAATGGGTTCCCAACACATGGTGTGAACAACAACCTTGCTGAGACACCCCGGAAGCTGTCTCTCTACGCACGGTGGAAGATATGAAGAGTCTACCGTTCATAATATTTGTTAGTTATTTAATATGCACACACATTCCTACACAAGTCAGTGCAATGGTCATAATGCAGAAATCCTCTAATAAAAAAATATTGAGTAGCACACAAAAAGAAAAAACAAAAACACAGGGAAACCAAGATTGTCAAAACTGTATCAAGTCTACAAAACAAGGAAACCAGATAACCAAGACTTTGATTTATCATACAGTGAAACCAGAAGGGTGCCAAGATAGTTTCCCTGACTCTTGTACATACAATAGAACTACATATAAAGTTTGTAGAAAAGGGGTCCAAGATCAGTATTATAACCCAAAGTCTGATCCTGATCGTTGGGCCTTACAAATCAAAACACATAGAACAAGAAGTAGCTATAAGGACCAGGCACTATTAGGAATCTCCCAGTGGAAATCCAACCGACACTCTAGTTTTAGCGTCACCTTTGATGTTTGCAAAGCAGCTAATTATTGGGCTCCAATATATGGTTGCGAAGGGATCAGTCATATCCACAGCTATATCCCAAACCATAAGTACTTGTGCCACCAGATGGATGTGCGGTCAAATGTAAGTGGTGGTCATATATTAAGTGGCATATCCAAGACCCAAAGGAGATAGACCACATCTTGTTTAAAAAGAATGAAACAAAAGCAGATTCCTGTGGAATGGATAACTGTAATTTGGTGATTCTCACAGTCAAGAATGGCAGTTGGTTCCTGGAACAAAATAGATGGGAAAGAAAGAAATGGATGCTTGGGATAGGAATAGATACCAAAGGCTACGACCCAATGTCAGAAATAGAAGTCAAAATTATAACTGCAACCAAAAGACCAGAACAAAAATCATTATTTTGGTCATATTGTGAGGAAATGGAGAACCTACATATTCCTGAAGTACCTAGACATGTAACCAATATCTTTGTTAAGTTAGCAGAAGACATTGACCATACTTTAGGCATGTCTAACTGTTTTGTGTGTGGTGGAACAAACATGGGAGAAAGATGGCCATGGGAGGCACAAGAGTTAAATTATACCAAGGTACTAGAAATGTCTAAAAATAATAATTTAACCTATACAAGTGGGAAAGATGGTGATTGGGCTCTCACTTCCAACTTGGTAGGACATGTATGTTACTCAAGAAACAAAACAGAATCTTGCATAGCAGTAGGTGACCTCCTATGCACAGGGACATGGGGAAATAGTAAATGGTGGTCTGGAACCAATGAGACCACTGCTATGGATTGTTATGCCCTTATTAACATATCTGGGATGCCATATCTAAAAGACCCCACAAATACCAGTCTCCATTGGTTAGCCCCAGATGGAATGTACTGGATTTGCAGAAAAATGGCATACGGACAACTACCTAAGAACTAGTGTGGATCTTGTGTATTGGGAATAATTCGACCAGGATTAGTTAAAACTATTAAAAACTAAGCAAATTCTTGGAGTCCCTATATATGATGAAGTTGGCAATATAAGAAAAAAAAGGGAACCAAGTGCATACACCCAATGCACAGGAATCACTTGGCAAAAAAATGAATGGCCACCTTGCCGCATCATCCTAGTCTATGGCCCAGCTACTTGGGCTGAGGATGGAATGTATGGATACCGTACCCCTATTTATATGCTCAACAGGCCTCATTAGGTTACAAGCGGTGGTAGAGTTAATCACCAATGAGACTGTGAAGGGACTAACTGAATTGGCCAAAGAAAATGTGAAATCCAGAACATATATCATGCAAAATAGGTTAGCTCTGGACTATCTTTTGGCCAAAGAAGGAGGGGTATATGGAAAATTCAACCTAACAAACTGTTGCATCAAAATAGATGAAAGTGGAAAAGTATTGAAAGGCATAACAGACCAAATGATCAAGTTAGCACATGTTCCGGTGCAAACCTGGAACGGATTTAACTCGGAAGACGTATTTTCAGGATGGTGGCCAAAGTTACCAGGCCTACAAACCATCATAGTTATAGCAGTCTTGTTAATTCTAGGATGTATTTTGATTCCCTGCTTACTCGCGTGTTGTAGCGATGATTCGAAGAATATCAGAAAGTACAGCCCAATTAACTGCAAAACATGAAACAATGTTAGCTTTATGGGAATATAAAATGGTACCTTCAAGAGATCCTGAATCAGAGGCAAAATAAGGGAAGTTTAAGCTGGAAAACTTCCAAAGGGGGGAATGAAGTGGAATAAAGTAGAATAACATAGAATAAAATGAAGAATAAAGTAGAATAATAATAATGATGATGAAAAATCATTATTAAAGTAAAATGATGTGTCTGCATAATTCCTGGAAGAAAGCTGTGTTACCAAAAGCTGTGTTAACAATACGTGATTGACCTAATGCACATTGAGAAACATTGTATAAAGTAAACTCTCTTCATTGTATGCCTGTGAGAAACTAACCGAATAATATAGAATGTAGATTCCATGTGAGCTTCTTTGATCCTGAGAAATGGAACGTATAAAACTGTAATTTGAACCCACCCCCCCTTTGTTCAGAATTTACTGTTGTTAACTGGCTTCTGAACCTTGCACAAATAAACCTCTCTGTTACACCCTTTGGAATTCGTAAAAGTCCTTTCGTTTTCCACAAGATTATGAATTGTGATAAAGGAAACTTTGGTTACCTAAAACTTGGAAATTATAAATATCAATTGTTAAATTTAAATATTGATGGGAAACTAAAAATTGGGAAAAACTAACAGGACATTGATTGTCTATAAAGATTGAATGTTAAAGTAACTAGGATATGTACAAGCTAAACATTTATTGATAAATGTAATGCTATTTTTACTTAATTGATATAAGAAATATGAAACAGTATATATTAAGGGAAAAAAGAGAGGAAATATTTAATGTGGTAGCTTGAGATTTGTACTGAAGATTTTTGTATGTTATTGAATTATCGATTAACCCAGCCACCACGTTGCTTTTTAAATACTTAAATATAAAATTAGAAAATTAATAAAATATTGCAAAAAAATAAATCGTCAAAGAGTTTTTCCTCTGTTTTTATGGGTACTCTTTGTAGTGGGAGAAGCCATTTAGATAAGATATTTCTGAGGAGTTCAACCCACTCATATTCATTGAAAAGCTCAACCACTTTCTTCTTGTAGGAGCAGGCTGAGCTTTTATTCGCCCCCACCCCCGCATCCAAGCCACTACCACCTCGCCATCCGTTAGCTGCTCCTGCTTTTCCCCGGGCTTTGCGCAGGCGCAGAGGCACACACGCTCACTTCTGCTAACGCCTTGGCGAGCTAAGCTGGGAGGTGCGCGGGTGCGCGCTTTCTCCAACATCTTCCTGGTGGCGGTAGATGCTGCACGCTTAGCTGCCGGCCGGAGTGGGGGTAGCAGGAGCTGCCGCTGGGGATTTCCTCGGCAAGGATAGCCGCTGTTGCTGCCGAAGGAAAGCAATCATGCATAACCTTCTTCGTGGCACGGAGCTGTTACTGAAATGAGCAAGCGAGCGCACAAATGAGGTGTTGCTTAGGCGGCTCCCTGGATGGATGTGTTTAGCTTTGTCAAGATTGCTAATCTCTCCGGGTAGGTGCTGCTTCTCCTTCTCTTGAGTCCTTTTTCGTACATCTTCCCCCCCTCCCCCCGAATTGCTGCTGCTGTTGCTGCTCATACTGCTGCTGCCGCTGCCTATACTGATTATCATGTCAGTTCCGGTGCTGTTCTCTGTAGTGCTGGGGGCGGTAGAGAAATGGAAGGAATTCAGAGGTGAGTCGTTAATCCAACTTCCTTGCCTCTTGAGTCAAGGTCTTCGTTGCCCAATTGGTGGCACCTTCTGCTGGGTCGGGGCATCTGCTCTGTTTTGGCGGCATTAAGCTGATGATTTCCCCCGGATACATCCAAGCGATTTTCGACATGGGGGTGGGGGGCGGCGGTTCCTGGGGAAATGAGTATGGATCTCCTCTTTCCCGGGCAAGCGGCGCTGCTTCCAGAACACTGGAGCTGCGTCGTGCTTGAGTCCCTGGAAATGAATTTCCTTGTGAGTGATTTTCAACGCGTCGGTTGAATGAAGCTAGGCGGTTAAAGATTCCCCCCAGCCATGGCTTCCTAAGCCCTTGGATCTAAATTGCCTGGTGTGAACTTCCAGTTTGAAGTACTTTTTATGTATTTTTTTTAAGAAAACATTTCCACTAGCTCAGAAGCTTGCTTAAATGCCCATCTTTAGTTTTACTTGAGTTATTGCAATACATCTTACCTACTTGGTCTCCTTGTCTTATTTGAAGTTAGAACTGCATCATGAATATTTTTAGAGAAGATGTGAAATAACCCGAAGTCTGCCATCAGTTGATCAGTGCTGGAGTATGATTAAATCTATTTTGGTTTATTGTAGCATATGTGAAATGTTACCTACTTTTACTTTTCTCACAACACAGATTGAATGTAAAAAGAAATGAAAATTTTAGAGAAAAGTTAGGCCTCAGACTCACAGAAATACTAATCATCAGATTGAGATTTATTTCAGTGTAGTTCAAAGAATTCATTGGTACACATCTCTTGATCTGCTGTAGGTGTACTTCATCACCCCTCCCATATTAGGTTTCCTGCCTTGCAGAGAGGATTCCTGAAGAAAAAAACCTATATTTAATCTTTTTGTTTTTAAAAATATTAATTATTGTTGCTACATTAGTTGTAATATACTTAGGTATGAGTAGTATTCCAAACGGTAATTCTAAGAAACAGTAAATAATGAAAGGGCTTGAACTGCTGAACTTTTTGTAAGAAACATCACAAATCAACTTTTGTTTGAATAAGAAACATGTTCCATTTTCAGACTGGACAAAATTTTCAGTCATTGAAATGGAATGTAGACCAATAGAAAACTCTTATTAGATAATTTTATATAGTACAAATAGACTAACATTGAAAAATACTGCAGGTGTGAAATCAAGAACTTCTAAATGCCAGGGATATTTCACAGCTTTTCAGATGCTTAATCTCTTATTCAATAATTGGGTTACTCAGTAGAAGACACTTATACAAGACACTACTATAACAATATCTGTGTTATTGTAGACAAGAATGAAGCCAGGTACATGTAGAATATTTACCTACAACAACCTATTCTTCCAAGATAAAACTCTTGGCTTTTTCCTCACACATTTTTAATTTATCAAACAGTTCACTTTGTAAAGCATCTAATACTTACATAACTACTTCTAGCCTAGGTTCTACTGATTTCTACCTCATCAACTTCAGTCCTATTTCCCCCCATAATCTATGTTAATACTGTTGTTAGAAGTGATCAGATCTTTATAGAAATGAGTGATAATGTGCAAGGATACTAACATTTTATCTAGTGGTTGACTCTTATATCAGAAAAATCCTTGTGTGCACTTTGGTTTTCTGAAGGAGAACTAATATATTGCACCTAAAATGCATCCTTGTAATGAATGATAGCTATCTGGTTAGTTCCACCTACGAAACAGTCTTATTATCATTATTATTATCAGAAGAAATTATAATTTGTGCTCTCAAATTCTTAAGTGATGGTTAGTGTTTTTATTGTTTTTTCCACCACTATTCTGAAAATAAGGGGTTGGCTGCTATTCTTAATAAGAATTTGTACTAGTATGTGTGCCAAATGCTTTCCTTTATCCATATCATGGTTACTTTATTATTTGTAAATTGCCAGGCAAAACCTAAGGTAGTTGGAATTCTTCAGAAGTGCTAAAACCTCACTTCCCACAATCCCCTGCAATCAAAACTAATTTTGATGGGAGGTTCTGGGACTTGTAACTCCTAATGTTGTTAAATATGTCAGATAACTTTAATACTTGTCTGATCTCCTGGGTATCATTAGTAGGGACAAATAAAACATAAGGAAAAAGGGCAATATAAATGAGGCCCTAAAATTCAGTGTGTGATTTTTTTTTTAACTATTGGGAACAACTGCATAAAAGAAAAAATAGAGAAAAATAACCAGGGCAGGGCCGAAAACATTACTGAGATGTTGGCAACTGTGAAATAACATAGTAGTAGTAAGCTACAAAGAAGAATGAAATAAAGGATTTATAATATTAACTGAGAAGCAGCAGTAGTCAGCAAATGTGGGCAGAATCAGTAGGAAGTTTGTACAGAGTGTGTTTTCCTTGCTGGCCCAGGAATAATTCATTTTTATGTTTGCACTTCCATACATACTTTTACAATTTGGTGGGTACCCAGCTAAAGAAATATATGTTATTTTTAGGTTGTAACCTTACTTGGTAATTTCAAATACCTGTATGAAAAGTACTTGTCTAAATAGAATTATGAAGGATTCCACTCTCATTTTTATTTAATAATGTTTATCATTTTCTCTTCATGACATACACAATTTAAAAAGCTGATCTGTATTTTGTGTAAAGTTTGAGGCTGGTTGTAAAGTATATGCTATTCTGAAAATTTCAATTCATGCAGTTGCTTTAATGCAGGGGTCCCCAACCTCTGGTCCGTGGATCGGTACTGGGCAGCAGCATGCTAGCATCCGGTCTTCACAAATAAGCAAAGCCCCATCCTTGGGATGCAGGAAGCACACAAAACCATGTACTCTCTGGTCTGTGGAAAAACCTTTCTGCAAGGAACCGGTCCCTGGTGCCCAAAAGGTTGGGGACCTCTGCTTTAATGTAAACTTAAAGTGCTCTTGCTTTATTGGTTATATGCTTTGCTATCATGGACAGAGTCTGGAAGCAAGCTGTCAGAAAAGAAAACAGCTTTCATATGAACAGGTTAATTGGTAAAATATTTTTGCAAAAAAAAAAAAACAATGTAAAAAGCAATTTTCTATGTAGCCTTATTGGCATGAATTACAGACAGGATCAGACATTACTGGGATTGTAATTACTGGGATTCAGATCAGATGATTTCAAGGTCTTTTTCACATTTAACAGCATTGCTGATTTCCTGCCCCAGGATATTTTTTTGTTTTATGAACAAGAAGGAAACTTTCTATAGCAATTGTAATGATGGCTTTGTATTCAGTTTCATAGGATATGTGATCATAGGAACAGAAGAAATCAGATTATTAGCTAATGTCTCAAAATAGTCTATATTATGACTATGCATTGCTTCACATTCAGAAGCAAAGATGGGTTCAGAGTGCACAAAGCTCATATCAGTGTGCCTGTCTGTAGCTTCTTAAAATAGCTATTTCTTTTATCAGTGGTATGCAGTTTCTCAGCTGTACTGTAAGACTGAAAAAAAATACAATCTTGGTTTAAAGAATTACTGACATATCCTAAATGTGTAACTGGAAATAATTTTTGACTTTTACATTTGTACAGCTTTAGTCTGCATAATGAACTGGGCCTTTTTGTAGCCCAATTACATTTCTTTTATTAAACAAAAAAATGTATGATTTCCACTTGGCTATGTAGGAAATCTTTGCTTAATGACAATAATTGGAAACAGAATTTTCAGTTGCTGTACAACTAGATGTTGTACTAAAACATGACATCATGTGGGCATGTTGCTTAGCAAAGGAAATAGTGACAGTCCCTGTTGTCACTATTAGTAATAGAGGGAGTTGAAGTTGCCGGAACCTTGGAGGAAAGTGACCATGTCATACTGGAATTCAATATAATACAAACACAAGCAATAAAATATAATTCAACCAATGTCTTAAACTTCAAAAGAGCTGATTTTAACAAACTCAGAGATAACCTAGGAAAGATTCCATGGATGAAAATCCTAAACAACTCAAGAAGCATGGGAAACTCTGAAAAATGCTATTATAAAAGCCCAATCCAGCATAATACCACTGAAAAAGAAAAACAAATTCAAGCATACATAAAATGCTTTCCCTTTGATAAAGTAGACAACAATCTACTGTTTGGTAAGATAGAAAAAGATGAAATAGACAACATCACCACCAGGTGGATTTGTAACAGGCTGACAAACCATACTCAGTGAGTAGTCCTCAATGGTACACATCCATATGGAGAAAAGTAAGCAGTGCAGTACCACAAGGTTCTGTCTTAGGCCCAGTACTCTTCAATATCTTCATCAATGACTTAGATGAGGGAATAGAAGGGGAACTCATCAAATTTGCAGATGACACTAAACTGGCAGGAATAGCCAAAACCCCAGAAGACAAGCTCAGGATTCAAAAAGATCTTGACAAACTTGAACAATGGGCCCTATCCAACAAAATGAGTTTTAATATGGAGAAAAGCAAAGTTTTACATTTAGGCAGGAAAAATCAAAAATATAAATACAGATTAGGTGACACCTGGCTCAAAATCAGGAGCTGTGATAGGGATCTTGGAGTCCTAGTGGACGATCACTTGACTATCAGCCAGCAATGTACAGCAGCAGCCAAAAAAGCTAATACAATCCTGGGTTGTATAAACAGAGATACAGAATCAAGATCACGTGAAGTATTAGTACTTCTTTATAAAACCCTAGTGCAGTGGTGGCGAACCTTTTAGAGACTGAGTGCCCAAACTGCAACCCAAAAGCCACTTATGCATCACTGGGTGCCAGGTGGGCATGGCCACCGAGTGGGCATGGCCATCGAGCTGTCGGCTTGTGCTCACTTGCTCGCTGTCCGC